CGCTGCTCCCGCCACTGCTGAGAAGCCCAAGCCCCAGAAGCGCGGTTCCATCTTCGGATCCTTCGTTGAGAAGCTCAAGTCTCCCACCACCGAGAAGAAGGAGCACGAGGCTGGTCTTGCCTCCACCCCCGTCAAGGAGAACGAGACTGCCGCTGAGGCCAAGCCCCTTGAGGAGGCCACGGTTGGCGTACCTGTCGTTGCTGAGCCCGTCGTCGTTGCCACCGAGCCAGCTAAGACCGAGGAGGCCAAGGTCTCTACTCCTTCCAAGGAGAAGGATCACTTCAAGTTCGGAAAGTTCTTCGGATCCAAGGACCGCGCCAAGTCGCCTGCTCGTGAGCCCAAGGTCGACGCGGCTGCTCCTCAGATCGCTGACACCAACGCGCCAGCCACCGCTGAGCCCGTCCAGGCCGTCGAGCCTGCTCCCATTGCTGAGACCAAGGTTGAGCCCACCGCTGAGACCGAGGCTCCCAAGCAAGACAAGCGCAAGTCGTTCTTCGGCAACCTCGGCCGCTCGCTCTCCAAGGCGACCGGTAACAAGGCGCCCAAGGACAAGAAGGACGCTGCCAGCCCTGCTCCCGTCGCCGAGGAGGAGGCCGTTGCCGCCCCCGCCGTTGAGGAGAAGAAGGAAGAGACCGTCGCCCCTGTCGTAGCCGACATCCCCGCTGAGAGCAGTGTGGGCGATGCTTCGAAAAGCGCCAACCCGACTGTCGCTACAACTGCGTAAGGTTTGGTGGGAAGATGTCAGCCTTTGCAACGACAGCCACGACGGAATGACGGAAAAGCAAAGACTTCGTAAATCCCTTGTTTGACCGCCGGCCACTGATACCCCCAAAATCTGCTTTGGATCTTGAACCCGGATTCAGGCGTCACATTTGGATCAAGCTTCTTCACATATCCCCTCTCATATTTGATTTCTCCTTGCATCTGGACCAACTCATTGTCACTCTCTCTTGGTGGATCGCGACGGACTCTTTGTTTAGACTGATACCACTGTAACTGTTTCTCTCGTTTTGATACCACTGGCGGATCTCGGACGCATTTGTTTTATCGCGCAATACCCCGGATACCCTCTGCGTACTGCCTTGTTAGAAGGAGTACACAAGCGGCCACTAGGGCACATATCGACGTAATAATCTCTAATAAACTGTCGTTTGCTCTTACTTGAGGTTTTAGCTGTGTGTACTGTGATGTCTTGACTCAATGATAGCGATGGTTTGCGCGGAGGAGTATGCCGCGTGGATCGACCAAGTTGCATGACGCTCACTCACAACGGTCGTGTGCTGCCCGGATGAGTGTGAACTAGACACCAACCTGCAATAGACCGGCCCAGCCCTGGGTGCGCGCATGAAGACATGTGGCAAGGCTTGAGCAAGATTGTCGCATCATGAGCACGGCAAGAGCGGAAGGCGCACTGGGGGAACCATACAGCGCAGGTCGACTGCGCCTTCCTTGGTGCTATCGATTGATACTTCCATGTCTGGACCCGGCAGCCTCGTCTCTACCCAACACAGCTCGCCCTTATTCTCTTTCTGAGAAACACCATGCCCATGCCATCATCTTTCACTTGCGTTCACATTCATATCCCGCTCGTATTGCCGCTGCATTCCTACCTTCGCTCTGTGCATTGCTAGGCCATACATGTCATCACGTCACCATGGTAGGTGGATGCCGATCGCGTGTCTCAGCGCAAGTACCAGCAGTTCGCATGCTCTAACACACACACCATTAGGGTTGTTGCGCATCCCGCACGAGTGACAACACTCCGCCTGCTGTCCTCGCGCATTCGTCGTCGCGTAACATCACAGCGCCGTCGACGCGACCCAGCTCTATCCCCTCACCACGCGCCTCACATGCTTCGCAGGGCAATGCGCACCCACCGACGAGTCGCCCGGATGCCGACAACCGCCCCAACACGCCTCTCAAGCCCATATCTCCGACTCAGCGCTCGCGCTTGCCTAACACGCTCGCTTCACCCACTGCTAAGAGCAGCAGCCGCGTCCAACCTCTGACAGACTCTACGCATTCGACATGGACCCGATCGCGGTTAGAGAAGGAGCGCGAAGACTGGTGGGACACACAGGTCACGGGTTCAGAGCAGATATGGGGCGCCATACGTCTTGTAGCGCAGCATCTACAGGCTGGCCAGTTGCAAGAGGCGCAGACGATGCTCGATGTCAGTGACTGCACGTGCCCAACGGGCCTGCTTTGGCGAGGCGTTTACGATGCGACTGGCGTCCAATACAAAGTCCCCGAGTGGGTGGTAGTAGAGCCAGAGGGCCTAGCAGAAGACGATGGTATGGACGACAAAGACTTGGCTGGAGATGCGAGCGCCAGTGCTGTGCAGGAGACGGTTGAAGATACCCTCGCCGACGACTCCGGCAGCCTTATACGTGTGAAAGTAAGGACGAGCCACGACCAGCGGGATCATCAGGTCGTCATGCGGATGAGAGACTCGGTCGCGACCATAATCGAGAAGCTGAAGAAGCAAGCAAAGGTATGTCGGACTTCATTGTCCCCATGCATCTCCTTTACTGCATGTACATTGCTAACCACATGTAGCTCGATCCCTCCCTCGTAATTCGTCTCGCATACGGCGGACGTATATATGAGCCCAACGACGTACTCGAAGCCAACGCGCGCTGGAACTTTGCTAATAACTACATCCTCACCGCGCTCGTCTTTCAGTAAACATCTGATCCTTTGCACATCTGTATACCACGCTCCCACCATGTCCCAAGGTTCCACGTTTGGATATAAAGGTCACATGGCTCACAAGGATTACTAGGTCTCCAACCGAGTATCTCGACTTCCTGTTTGAGTCGATTGTCAAAACGTTGGATGAAATGGGCATACCGGACCCGAACAAACCTTCCTTGGAAGAGGAGCCGTACGAACCTACTTCGGAAGATGACTCTGACGGTAGCGAGACTGATCCTCTTCTTCCTCGATCACGTTCGTCGGATAATAGCAGCGATGACGGAACGTCTGAGGGTTGTGTCGCGTTTTTGTATGGGTTGGTTCGTTCGTATTGGAACTTTCAGCGGTGGAACTACTCTTCGCTTCAATAGTCCATTTGGTGGCTTGTTTGATACCCCTCTCTTCCATATTTTTTTGTTCATACTGGCGGTAGGCACCGAGGCCTTTGCTTGTACCCAGTATCATTTTTCATGCTTCGGCGTATCGCTATTGCGAGATTGTAATCCTTTGGACAATAGAAGTCTGACTAGTGCTTGAAGTTCTCTTCAATGCAAACATGCTCAATTCGTTGACTTTATTCTCTTGACGATTCATGTTGACAGGTGCTATAAGTGAAGCCCTGTTGAAGTTGTGTAACATTAATTGTGGAGTCCGCATGGCTTGATGGCAACCTACCAGTAATTCTTCCCGTACAAGTCACGATCTCAGGCCGTGTCTGATAACGAAGATGCATTTATCGCGTTCTCCACGTGTAACATCCTTCGCACGCGAAGCTTTGTGTCTATCTCAGGGTGGCCCTTAACCCCGAATCAGATGTCATCACATCCACATAACAAAGTGGTGATCAACACCATTCCAAGAAGCAGTCAAGCGTGTACTCCGCTTCTAGCCTTCCCGAGGTCAAAGGTTCGTTATCTGCCGTCTAGCTTCCCGCGTCCTCCATCGACACCATGATGGTTGTGGTGAACCCTGTGACATCATCGTTTTTGAACCTCGGAAGCTCATCGCCCGCCATGACGATGACCTACCCTCTTTTTGAGTACCATAAAGACTCACTAAGAGCGAACCAGACACTCCAATTCATAGCACACATAAAGCCAACATGTTCGCCTCATCTGCGTCACGTTCTTTACGCACAACTTCCACAGACCGACTTTCACAAATAACCAGACAAGTCCTCCCGCAACAAATCAGAATGGCGCACAACGGCACAACCCACACGCTCAACACGGGCGCCAAGATCCCTGCCATTGGCTTTGGAACTTGGCAGGACAAGGAAGCCCAGGAACCGTAAGCTTTTGTCTTGTCGTTGAGAAGTGTGTTGTGTTACTAATACGGAAAATAGAGCTGTCACCATGGCGCTCAAAGCGGGCTACCGCCACATCGATACAGCACGCATCTACGGCACGGAGCCCGCAGTCGGCAACGCCATCAAAAAGTCCGGCGTCCCCCGTTCCGAGCTCTTCATCACCAGCAAGCTCTGGAACAACTCGCACCACCCCGACGACGTCGAAGCCGCACTCGATGCATCCCTCAAGGACCTCGGAACCGACTACCTCGACCTCTACCTCATGCACTGGCCCTCGCCCTTCGCCCGGGGCTCAGAAATGTTCCCCAAAGACTCCAACGGCAAGGTCAAGGTCGGCGAGAGCGACTACGTCGACACCTACAAAGCCATGGAGAAGTGCTTCAAAAGCGGCAAAGCCCGCGCAATCGGCGTCTCGAACTTCAGTAAAGCGGAGATGGAGCGCTTGATCAAGGAGACTTCTGTTGTGCCTGCTGCTCACCAGATCGAATGTCATCCGTATCTTCAGCAAAACGACTTCACGGAGTTCCACAAGCAACAGGGTATTCATGTGACGCAGTACTCGCCGTTTGGCAACCAGAACGAAATCTACGATTCTGGGAAGAACATGAATAAGCTGATGGATGACCCTGTGCTTGTGGAGATTGGCAAGAAGCATGGCAAGACTGGTGCGCAAGTCGCGCTGGCGTGGGGAATCGCCAAGGGCCATTCCGTTATTCCCAAGAGCAAGACTGAGTCGAGGATCAAGGCCAATCTGGAGGGTGACTTTGCCCTGCCCAAGGAGGATGTAGAAAAGATTACTGGCATTGATAAGAAGATGCGGTTTAACGATCCGTCGGGTAACTTTGGATGGAACTTCTACACGGATTTGGATGGTAAGAAGAAATGAACGATCAAGTAGTGTACTATGGTGCTGTTGAAGTAGCCGACTCGAAATGATATATCTATATGCATTACATGAAACAACGCTCAAAAACGCCCGCTGCACACCCATCCCCTAACTATAACTCCCCGCCGCCCAGCTCTTCCGACTCTCCCTACGATCCTCACCCTCAAAGAAAATGGCAACCTTGTTCGGCTCCCCCTTTTCCCCCTCATGGTAATCATACTTGATTTTCTTGAACCGCAGCGCCCTCGCTGCCTTAATCTCATCCCCACTCATAACCATCGCCGCATCGCCACCAATACGACTAACAACGGGGTTCAACAGCATGGCCATACTGAAAAAGCTCTCGTCGCGGACAATCGTGCGGTTGGCGAAGAGGCCTAAGAGGCAGAGAGCGAGAAATTGGATGAAGCAGATGCCGCCTAGGATGCTGAAAACGTAGGACCAGTCTACGTCGAGTTGCTGGCCTTGCGATGGGACGACGGTTTGGTGCGTGACGTTGTAGCGAATGCCATGGTCATCGAAGGCAGCGACAGCGCCGATGGTAAAGCGCATGAGGAGGTCTTCGACTTCATTTTTTGCGATGTTGTGTGCGGGCGACCATTTGGTGCCTTGACTGTAGGACCGGGTTTGGCGGTCGAACCAACCGTTCCATGGTATACCTGTCCAGCCCATGGCACCAGCAGCTGTACGAGCGAAGATATCGGAGCCCCAGACTGCCCTGAAGTCGGCGGGGTCTCGGGGATCGATGTCGTTGGGGGCGTTAATCGCGGTTACGTTACCGAGTGTGTTGTTGCAGAGGAAGAGGGAGGCGGCGGTCACGCGCGCGTGCTTTTTGTTGTCCGACTCGGGGAGTTGCATGACGGTGAAGTTCGTACATCTTGGCCCGCAGTTTTCGGGAACAGAGGCCATCCAGGTTACGGAGCCGCCGGCTTGTTCAGTGACTTCCCACTTAACGTAGTCATCGTCGCCTTGGTGTCGAGCCATGATGTAGAGGGATTCGTCGGGTACGTCGTGCACTTTGCCGTCCTTGACTTCGAGTTGTTCGCATGATGCGTGGGCTGTGATGTTGCGGGAGCTGGCGAGGTAGTTGACCCATTGGTGGGCTGGGTCGCGGTTGAAGAAGCGGTAGTGCCATGCGCCGTTGCCGCGGTAGATGGGTGTGCCTGGTATGCCGGATAGATCGGTAATCATGTCGTCCATATTGTCGGTAAGATTGAATTCGGGGTATGCCATGGCTTCCATGCCGTACATCCACGCCGCTTCCAGCGAAGTCTCGTTGATGAGACTGATTTCGGGGTCGATCTCGCGCGGCGGGTTGTCGACGTACCAATCGTTCAGATCGGCTACAGTGACATTCCCGTATGACAAGAGTGGTATCTCCGAGTTCTCCATCGGCCAGAACAGACTCAGCAGTGCCACTAGGATCTGAGAGCCGATATTGAGAACCAGCCATGCCAGACACGCTAGCCACATCCACTTCGTCTCATCGTCTCTAACATCCTTGAACATTCGGAATTTGCGCAGCCATTTCTGACGCCGGAAGCCAGGTGACGACAGGATCATCAGTTTCGTAACCTTGGCAAGCGAACTCAGGTGTAGGATCAGGTCGAATACTTCTAGACTAACGTAATGTCTAGTGAGAAATGACCATCTGAACACTGATGCATAGTGCTTTAACGAGGCCAAGATGTTCAAACCCAGACACAGCGAGAGACCGAGAGTAAGCGAGTTGAAGATTCGGATATCGATCTTGGAGAGAACGACGGGGCGGCGCCATCCTTCCCAACATTTGAGTGTAACACACATCACTGCGCTGAAGAACAGCGTTACGAGGAGTTTCATCGCACCTGTCTTGAGGAGTGTCTTCCGTGCCTCTCTTTGGTCGAATCGCTTGACGTGGTGGTGGTGTTTGTGGTGATGAGTCCCGTCTTCAACATCGAAGGTGGAGCTGGGGCTGCCTACGCTGGCGTAGAATCCGCCCTTGGACTCTATGATCTCTGGAGACTGGACCATGGATGGTGTGTGCATTGGTGAGTTGGATGGCGAGTATGATGCGTCGTCGACATGCTGCATCGCTACATCACCACTGTCGTAGCTGAGTGGTTCGGCGGAGCTGATCAATGGCGCATTGTCGGAGTGCCCCCCACTGACTGTGCGGTTGCGATCCATGGTTCTTATTCTTTTGTCTTCGTTCGACGGGGTGGTGTGTTTGTGCTCTGTCAAATCTACAACTGTAGAGATGACTTTGCGTGGCTTGGAACCTCGTGTGCCGTCAAACGGCAGGCTGCAGGTGTCTTGGGCGAAGATAGCAAACTAGGTAGCGAGCGAGCGAGGCGTTACGCGCATTCTTTAGCGATGGCTAAAGTACCGACACTGTGGTTGCATTCCCCGGGTATACTGGTATGTGAAAGGGATTCCTCAGTAGTCCTGCAAGACTTGCCAGGTAAAGTAGTAAGAGTGATTATCTGAAGTGGAGAAAATGCAGAATCCTCTGGAGCGCACATGGCGCTCTTATCGCTGTCTCCCGGGCGGGTTTCCGCGCGACGACCATATTGGGGGCTGAAAGTTTGGGGGCCACAACAGCCGCATCTGCAAGCCTTTGGCGTTGCACAGCGTGGGCGAAGCAAGTCCAAAGTTGAGAACTGCCAGCGACAAAAGGACGATAACCAGTACTAAATTGTAATAATAGAAGCACAAAAAGTACTTCAACGACTTACCATGCGCCTATCGTGAAGCATGCGTTCGGAGAACTACATCAGCCCACCCCTCTTCATCCTTGGTAGGCTGGATTTTCCCAAACTGGAGGCTGAGTCTCACGCTAGACCAACGAGTGTAGCGATCGGTAGTCCTATTGTTAGCTAGATAGGCTGTTAAATGCAAGCGAAGTATCGAGGCGTTTCTAGTCCAGTAATATCTAAGTGGTTGCACGCCACGAAGAACAAGTATGGGGGGCCGGAACGCTCATTCGCCTAAGATGCAGCTGCGGGAGGGTAGAAGCGCAAGGCTCGGAGCTTGCAGTATGTCGCGAAATGCAGCTGACTTGGACCATGCAGTTGTGGAAGTTCTTCGAGGCCGGAGATAAGCTTAGGCCGATGTCAACGTTGTTGTGGTTGTTGCTGTTGTAAGCGTCGCGGAGTGAGTACCCACATAACCGGCCGCGGTTGCCAAACTGTCAGGTTTTACCTTTGCGGGCACCCACCAATCCTCGGAGTTGTAGGAGGCATATTGATGCTCCTGTGCTACTCATGCGACATATCCGTCGTCGTAAGAGCAGGGGGATGGTAACTCTGACGATGATGCCCGCGCGCGAGAGCGACTGACTAGCCTCAGGTACTCCCCACCTGACGCTAGATGACAAATGACTGTGGAGAAGGCACGAAGGGCGTGATGTCAACCAGTCTCAGAGCTTCATATTTATCGCGTCTGTCTCAATCTTGCTGTTAATTATCAACCATCGAGATCAAAACGTTATGTCGTCGTCAAACGTGGTTCTGTACGATCTGCCTAGCAGGAGTGGTTCCTCATGGTCATTGAACCCGTGGAAGAGTGAGTTCATCCACACTACAAATGCTATCCTGATCCTTCTGACAGGCGCGCAGCTCGCATGGTACTGAATTACAAGAAGATCGACTACACGACCGAATGGGTAGAATACCCTGACCTGGCCCCCAAGTTCAAAGCCCTCGGCATCCCGCCCACCCCCAAGGATGCGCCAGGCTATTTCGCAGAGTACACCAGTCCCGCTATCAAGCACTCGAATGGCACCTATCAGATGGATTCTTGGCCCATTGCCTACGAACTTGAAAAGCAACACCCGGCTCCGTCTTTGCACCTCGATGACCCCATTGTTGTACAGGTCAGGGACCATATTGCCAAGATAGCTGGCCCACTGAGACCGCTCCTCATTCCTCAGGTGCCAGTCGTGCTGCTGAACAAGCCGAGTGCGGATTACTTCAACGAGACGAGAGAGAAGATGTTCGGGAAGTCGCTCGAACAAGTGGAAAAGGACGCCAATGCGGACGAGTGTTGGGAGGCGGCTAAGGCACCGGCGAAGGAAGCGGGCGATCTACTGAGGAAGAACGGTGGACCTTACTTCCTGGGTCAGACTGGTAAGTGACAATGCGCTGGCTGGATCATGTCGGCTTCATATATTCTAACTTGTGAGCAGTCTCGTATGCCGACTTCATCCTTGTGTCGATGCTACACTTCGTCAAGTGCATAAGCGAGGACAAGTTCAAGAAGCTTCTGGCTCTTGACGAGGCCTTCCCCAAGGTTTACGAGGCGTGTAAACAATGGCTGGAGAAGGACGACTAGTCCCTTCTCAGCAAGCGCCAGTGCCTAAACCGATCGATCAACATCGGGACTGCTCTTTCTGTTACCCAGGTATCGTGCGTTCAGATGAATAAGATTTCAGAATCAACAATTATGAAGTTTCCTGCACTGCATGCCATGCGCCACACTACCCCTCTCTTGCGCCCGCCAGACTGCTTGACCAATCTGACTGTGCAGCGTTAGCGCGGCCACGCTTCTTGCCTTGCGCCCGATGGGCAGTGTTGCCTAGCAGCTGATAAGTTCAGCCCTGAAGTCATAATGCCGCCAGATCATACACGCACAACGATAACGTCGCACCTCAATTACTTTCTAGACTCTTGACAAGAGCTGTACGGCGCGTTTGTTGGAACGTCATCCTCTCCGGTCGGACGACGCTCGAGGTCGTTGCACTAATCCCAAACGTGCCTTCCACACCCACCATGGGCGCGGAAACTACACCAAAGAGGGCCGGCACTGCGCATGAAAGTTCGCGCAGTTCTGATGACGGATTCGAAATAGTAGAGCACGACCTCGATGTTTTGAGCATCCCTGAATCCCAAGACGGCACCCTCATACCGACTATAGCGGTAACCGAAGAGACAGAGCGCAGCAAAGGAACGAACGCATCCAGAGAAAGCCGACCTTGGCCAATCGATTACGATGAGTTTCACGACGCGATCAGAGGCGAAGACTTCGATGGCGTGAAGAAGATGCTGGACGACGGTGCAAACGTGGAGCGTGGAACAGACGAGGGAGAATCACCACTGATCCTCGCCGTTTGGAAGCAAGACATCGCTATCATAACGCTCTTGCTAGAAAGAGGCGCGGATGTGACCCGCCCGTTCGACGGCTTTCCTCCGATCCACCACGCCGTCATGCAACAAGATCGAGCAGCCCAGATCATCCAGCTTCTCCTCGACCATGGCGCCAGCTTGGAAGCTGTTGGGACAGAGGATATTAACGCGTTACATTTCGCTGCATCGAACGGCATGATACACGGGGCTGATTTCCTAATCGGCAAGGGAGTAGAAATTAGCAAGACCTGCGCGGATGAGAGGACGCCTTTGATACTGGCCGCAAAACATGGACATCTTGCAATCGTCAGACTACTTCTCGCTAAAGGAGCAGATCTGCACGAGAAAAGTGAGAATAGTTGCACTGTTCTAATGTGGGCGGCAGAGTATGGACATCACGAAGTCGTTCGTTACTTGTTGGAGGTAGGAGCGATGGTGGACGACCGTAGTGTAGAGGGTCTCAGTAAGTTGATATAGCCTTCATGACTTGTTGAACAGCAACTGATATCAGCAGCCGCCTTATCACTCGCCAGCATGAATGGCCGATTGGAAGCTGTACAACTACTGATCGAGAGCGGTGCAGACATCAATGCACTCAGTCTAGATCCAGAATCCTTCACTCCGGCAATGTTTGCTGCATTACAGGGACATGTAGAAGTACTACGGGTCCTGCTATCGCACGGAGCAGATTACAAACCAGATTTCGAAGTCGAATGGGCAGACGGTGACACGATCCTGGATATGACCATGACGAAAGGCCACCTTGCTACTGCCAAGATCCTGTTAGAAGCCATTGGTGGACCTGACTACCCAAGGGATAGCATCGCACTCCAAATGGCCACTGCGCAGTCCAAGGTAGAGCTGATACCAGTGATGAAGGCCGTTTCTATCATGTACCAAGAAATCGATCCCCATTCCAGCGACGGGGAGAACCTGGGTTGGGTCGAATGGGTCTTAGATCAAGGCGGGGAGCTCGTCAGGCCAAAAGCCATCTGCAATATGCTATATGCTGCACTAGCCAAGAGGGATGTCGGTATAACTGCAGAGCTACTCAGACTCGGAGCCGATCCAAATATCTTCGGGTTCATGGGTTACACACCACTCCACGTCGCAGTCAGCGGACTGGCGTGCAACCTGGAACTCGTCGAAGTCCTTCTCAAAGCTGGTGCTGACCCGGCGAAGCTCTCGCAAAATCCCACCACAGCATTGAGGGTCACGCCACTACATCGTGCCATCATGGGTTTCGAGAACGATCGCCCAGTGAACATGGCTGTCGTCGATCTTCTGTTAGCGAAAGGGCAATGTAAGGTGATGAAAGGACCAAACGCTCAATCTAGTGCCTTTCTGAGTGTAGTGAACGCGTTCGATGGTGGGAGTGCTGAGATTGCCAAAAGCCTAGCGTTCCGGATGCTGGATTCCATATCTGATGCGAACGACGACACGGCCGACGATGGGTTTACTCCGATGCACGTTGCCGTCCAATACAATCAAAAAGAGCTCATTGACGCACTAAGACGGAAAGGCGCCGACATCAACGCGAAGAACAACGACGGCATGTCACCTGTTCTTCTGGCGTGCGGCATGAAAGCGGAGCTGGTAAACTTTCTGGTGACACGCTGCGCAGACGTGTCTGCTGTCAACAAGAAGAGGCAAGGAGCTTTGCATATCGCCGCTGCGTGTGGGAAAGCCGATGTGCTCAGATTTCTCCTTGATCTGGATCTAGCTGAAGAGGAGCCACTTAACATCAACGCCGTGGACGATGCAGGTCACACCCCTTTGATCACTGCCACAGTGGAGGGTCATGAAGGTGCAGCTCTTTTCTTACTGGTACGAGGTGCCTCTGTCCGACAACGTACGACCAAAAAAGGACGACTTGCCTTGCATTACGCAGCACAGGCTAGTATGAACCGTATTGTGGAATTCCTGTTAAGGGTTTCCTGCAACGACATCATCAATGTGGAAGATCATGGGAGATACACACCCTTAGCACTCGCGTGCATGGCAGAGACCCCCACCGTCGTTCCCACCTTGCTCTCCTACGGCGCAGACCCAAACATCATCTGCCAGAACACCGGCGACCGCCCCCTTCACATCGCGCTCAAACGACCCCTACACATGGATCGCTGTGCAGACAGGGAAAGTAGTCCATCACTGGACCTGCTCAAGTATGAAGACACCGATATCACGGCTCGCGATGGCAGCGGCCGCAAACCACTGCATCTCGCATCCGAGTTCCACAATCTTGAAGCTACTAAAGCCCTCTTATCCAAAGGCGTCTCACCACACTGTGAAGACAACAAGGCCAGAACGCCACTGTGTCTGTGTTCAAACCCCTATATCGCACAAGCGCTCATAGACCACGGCGCGGACGTAAACCACGGTGACGAGAATGGATGGACGCCATTGCATTACGCCGTGTCGAGGTGCTGGGTAAAGGCTTTTGCGGTGCTGAGACAGGCAGGCGCTGATATGGATATGAGGACCCGAGATGATGGGCTTAGTGTCAATGAGAGGTTGGACAAATTTGGTTCATGGCAGGACTGGGTGAATACGGAAAGGGAGTTGGTGTGTGATGATGCACAGAGGGAGAAGATTAGGGAATTCGACGTGAGGACTGAGATGGGAATGAAAGTAGATAGGTATTGAGGTAACTACTAACGGCGTAAGTGCTCTGCTTCGCTTACTTGCTTCAATGGGCTCGTCACTCATTGTACTGCTCATCCATTTCTACTCTGATGCAATTTCGATGTTGCGCACTAGTGAGTGAGACATCACATCTACGTCTCGGAGCCCACGGGTTTTTCGATCGCACATGTCGACGAGTCATGAACGGTAGCGCGCACGACTCGCCCACCCAGCCACGCGCAACCTCTTCACGATCGACGTCATCACATCGACATCCAGTCCAGAACATCACAACAAAACCTAAATGATAGATAAACATTTTTCACCCGGCACGTCATTCGCCCGTCCGCCAGCGCATTCTCCCCATCACAAATACACCACGCGTAGTCCATCCGCCGCATTCCGAGCGAATTAGGTAAAACGCCAGATCTCCTTCGCGTGAGTGTGCGCGCGATCTGAGTGCCCTGGCGCCGATCTCAACGATGCGGCGCGTCATGGACTTTTCGATAGCCTCGCGCACAAATGCCATCACCAGTCCAGATCTTGTGTCAAGCTAAGCTTTTCGAGCCTCTATTCCTTGGCAGTTGGGACTGCAAGGGGTGTTTTCGGAGGCCGTGGGTGCCCTTTGCGGCGCCTGGCGGACGGATAAGCTTCCTTAGGGTTTCTTAGATCGAGCTGGTGGGAGTGATGGGGACGATGATGTCACGGGTGTGTAGTGGACTTAAGCATTCGATGCCAGGACTTCGGTGGGAGTAGTTGTGTCTTTTTCTATTCCAAGCCCACCTTGCTCTGTCCAACAACACATTTCTCGTGAGTGAGCATCATGTTTGATCTCATCCGCGACTCGGCTTTTGGCCATATCGTCCGTCTTGTGACGCGCAACAAATATCTTCAATATCCCGAAGAGAAGGACCCCGAGATTTGGAAGAAGTATGTCAGCCACGAGAAGTCTGGGTATGCCGCCTACCATGGATCTACTCAGGCGCCGGAAAACAAGGACGAGATCGATGAGCTCGCTCAGACGCATGGTGTGAGGAACCGGGAGGGACGCGATTCGGAGACTTCGTCGCGTACCGTGGGCAATGGTGTCAACGAGGCCAGTGGCTTGAGAGTCGATCCTGAGAAGGGCAAGGACCTTCATGTTATTGATTGGTATGGTCCGGATGATGCTCAGGTATGTTTGCTCCATGTTCACATTTTTGGATTATACTGACGGCTCTGTAGAACCCAAAGAATTGGTCGCGAGGAAAGAGGTACTTCGTTACCTTTGAGATTTGCTTCCTCACCTTCTCGGTATACATCGGTTCAGCCATTTACACGCCTGGTCTCATGGGCGTGATGGCAGAGTTTGGCGTCGCTCAGGTCCCCGCGACCTTGGGACTAACGCTGTACGTTGCTGGATACGGTCTTGGTCCTCTCCTATGGTCACCCATGAGCGAGATTCCGCAGATTGGCCGTCTCTGGGTTTACATTATTACCCTTCGTAAGTGCAGCCGTTCGTTCACAGCGAGACGATATGCTAACCGATACCAACAGTCATCTTCGTCCTGCTCCAGATCCCTACTGCTCTCTCCGTCAACTTCGGCATGCTACTCGCTTTCCGATTCCTGACTGGATTCTTCGGTTCGCCCGCACTCGCAACAGGAGGAGCCTCCATCGCCGACATGTACCGACCCAAGAAACAAGTGTACGGTCTCGCGGTCTGGGGAATTGGCGCTGTCTGCGGTCCCGTTCTCGGTCCTCTTGTGGGTGGCTTCGCCGTTATGGCTGAAGGTTGGAGGTGGACCATGTGGGAGATCATGTGGCTCTCGGGCTTCTGCTGGGTCTTCCTGTTCTTCCTTCTCCCGGAGACAAGCGCGCCCAACATCTTGCACCGCAGGACACGCAGGCTCAAGAAGCTGACTGGCGACGATCGTCTGACCTGCGAGCCGGATATCATGTCTGCTGAGATGTCAGGCAAGGACGTAAGTAAACCTTCTTCACGATACCCAATCACGGCTAACACTACCTCAGGTTCTCAACATGAGTCTTCTCAAGCCCATCACGCTCATGTTCAAGGAACCCATCGTGTTCCTGTTGAACTTGTACATCGCGCTCATCTACGGTCTACTCTACATCTGGTTCGAATCGTTCCCTCTTGTGTTCTCAGGACTTTACGGTTTCAACCTCGGTCTTGAGGGAGTTGCGTTCCTTGGTATTCTCGTCGGTACATTCATCGCCGTCATTGTGCTCTTCGCGTGGAACTACTACTACCTGGAGAAGCAGTTCGACGACGATGGCAACATTGCGCCCGAGAAGCGTCTCATCCCTGCCATGGTCGGCTGCTTCTTTGTGCCAATCTGTCTTTTCTGGTTCGGATGGACGTCCCGGTCAGACGTGCACTGGATTGTACCCATCATCGGATCTGGATGCTTTGGTATCGCTGCCTTCACGCTCTTCCAGGCCGTCCTACCTTACCTGTCGGATGCTTACCCCGACTCTGTGGCTAGTGTACTGGCGGGCAACGACTTGATGAGGTCGTCGTTCGGTGCGGGATTCCCCTTGTTCGCCAATGCCATGTACCAGAAGTTGGGCATAAACTGGGCGAGTAGTTTGTTGGGATTCCTGGGTATCGCCTTTATCCCGATTCCATTTGTGCTTTACAAGTGGGGCAAGCAGATCAGACAGAAGAGCAAGCTGGCCAGAAAGGATATCTAGGGGTGTGCAGTGGAATAGTCCTATAGGATGGACGATAATATTATTTGTTCAAACAACTTCGATGGAGATGAGTGATTCCCCAGATGTGTGGAACGCGTGGTTGACGTCATCATCGTACGCGCCATGGTGATGCATATTTCTTTTGTGAGCAATGTTCATTGGCATGGGTGCGCCTGCGAAGGCGTGTGCTGCTCCGACGTAAGCAAATACGCATTGCTTTGTCGAGCAGTTTGGTGAAACAGCAGACGTTGATGCTGCGTCATACTCGACGCGATGCAGGTGGCCGATCCCAACGGCTATACATAATGCCGTAGTCATGTCGCGGAGTCTAGACACGTGCTAGGGGAACGCGGTAATGGAAATATCGCGAGTTTAAAATGACGAGCGCGCCGAATGGACCCTGATGGCCGAAGCTGGAAGCATCGATCTCCCGGGAGCGACAGCCGATTTGGGTCTGCAGCGAGATTGGTGGTGAGGTCGCTGGGGTAGCCTCGAGGATGTTGGTGAGGGAAGGATGGCGCTAGGCGTGCTAGCGCGGAGCTTGTGGCGACTGGAGGCTGTATGGCAGTTCCAAGATTGCTGCTGTCTTGGATGGCAAAGAGTTGGGAGGCTAAGAGTTGAGAGGCTAGGGAGTTTGCGAGCCGGGTGGAAGGCGCGGAAGCTACCTGTGAACCAGCAGAAGGAGCTACCAGGCAGCAGGTGTATTAGGTAGTACAATGAATGGCAGCAACTGTGCAGTGTTCTTCCTCATCTCACCACCTGTCTGTGCTGCACCGCCACAACATCCCGCGAACCTGTTTCGGCGCTGATCCTTACCCACAACGGCAAAGGCGGCCGTCGTCGTCAGCATGAGCGGGCATGGCAGCGTGCGTTTTTCGAGAGCCGCTCCCCACAACGTCCTGCTGAACAACATGGCCATGGCGGACGCGACCAAGCCCGTCGTAGTCAATGCGCCCGAACGCCCGGGCTTGACGAGCAGCGCCTCGGGGTCGTCTGGCGACTCGATGGACGAGACGACGTCGCCCGGCGAGCCCTCGACGACCACCAGCAGCCGCGACCAAGTGGCGCCTCTGCGCGAGCCCCAGTACTCGTGGAACAGCAACGCCAGCTCCTCGCGCTCTCGCGGGCCTGCCATCATGACGGACCTGCCGCCGCAGACGCCCAACGGGGGCAGCGCGCCCACGTCGACCACCAGAGCCGCCCGCCCAACACCTGGCCGCACCATCAGCAGCGCATACGCACCCGCCCGCCGCCCCCAGCAGTTCTCGCTGAACTCATCCGCCCACCGCCCGCGCAACAACTCGGCCACGCGCAGCCGCCGCAACCCCAACGCCGAGTACCGCGCCCAGGAAAAGGCCTACGTCCAGCGCATCCGCCAGGAGGACCAGCAGGACGACTTCTTCGACCCGGCCCTGCGCACGCCCAGCCTGGGCTACAGCACCGACTCCGAGACGGACGACGAGTCGCCCTCGACCGCCGAGTATGTCGAGAACGACCCCTACGACCAGGAGACGCTGCTCTACTATGGCAACGACGACATGCAGCCCTCGATCGAGGAGCTCAAGATCCCCGCCAACCGCGAGCGCCTCGAGTGGCACAGCATGCTCGCCAGCGTCCTCACCGGCGACGTGGTCAAGCAGGAGAAGAAGCGCCTCATCGGTAGCACCGAGCAGCAGGGCGACAGCACCATGAAGGCCGAGATCTGGATGGGCATCCGCGCCAAGGTCTGCGGCCGCTCGCTGCAGGCCCAGCGCCGCATCGTCGACGACACCCGCAGCAAGATCCGCGCCAACCTCGAGAGCATCATCTCGTTCGAAGTCGGCGGCGAGGCGGAGGCGGGCCAGACAGCCGCCCAGCAGGTCGAGGACATTGTCAAGAAGATCGAAAAGGTCGAGAGCGTCTACCCCACGCGCCAGGCCCTCGAGGCTGCCTATCCCCGCGCCGCCTCGCAGCCCTACAAGGACGCCTGCGACGCCGTCATTGCCTGGCACAACACCATCGCCCTCATCAACACCGAAATGTCCATCCTTAAGAAATGGGTCGGCAACGAGGAGCTCGACTTCACCAAGCCCCGCCCGCGCTCGTCCCAGGACCACCATCTCACCGACGACTCTTCGTTTATTGACCGGATACTCAAGGAGGATGGCCTCAAGTCCCTGCAGGGCGACACCAACCTGCTGGCTCCGCTCGAGAAGGTCATCCAGAAGGCCAAGGCCACCCTCATCGCCAACGCCGAAGGCTTTGCCGAGAGACATCTCCCGCCCTACATCGAAGAGCTGCTGACTCTCATCAACTTCCCCTCGCGTCTCCTCCAGGAGATCATCCGCGTCCGCCTCTCGTACGCCAAGAAGATCAAGGACCCGTCACAACAGGGCGTCATGATGGCCGAGCAGATGATTGCGCAGTTCCAGATCCTGCTGGCCATGGCTGGCCAGGTCAAGGAGAGCTACATGGTCATCTCCCGGCCGGAGCCTGGCTGGGATCTGCCTCCGTGCATTGAGGAGAACTTCGACACCGTCGTGCTAGACGCCCTCAAGTTCTACTTCAAAATGCTCAACTGGAAGCTGGCTGCCAACAAGAACACCTTCAAGGAGGCCGAAATCCTCGAACAGGAGTGGGACTTTTGCAACAAGCTCGGCCGACAACTCCAGGGCGGCGACGTTGAGACTGCGGAACAGTTCAGTGTGCTCACATCCAAGTCGCTCACTCGTCTCAGCGCTCACTTTGAGCGAGAGCTGCAGCGTCGGCCGGACGAGCTCACGGGTTCTGAAATGGAAAAGCGATACAAGCAGATCCTCGATTCTGTCCGTGTCCGACAGCGTAAGCTGTTCCGTTTCTCCAGGATCCTCACGCAGCGCTTCGAGAACTGCACCGAGTTCAACATCAACAACATCGACCTAGACGAGGAGCAGCTCCAGGAACTGTACGAAGCTCTCGTTGCCACTGGCCACTTTCTCGTCGAGACCACCGGCGGAAACAATACTGGCATATACATCGTTGCATCACCGACGGCACTCGACCGACCGAACGACATCCAGTCGCTTCTTACAACCTGCTACCACGCAGAAGAAGCTCCAGAGGACCCCTCCAACCCATACGTTTTGATCATCCGACCAGAACAGCCCCTGTACTGGCCCGGCAAGAAGATGTCAGCCAACATCATCGAGCCCCATCTCGACCTCAAGCCTGGTCGGTTGAGGCTCGTCGCGGATGGCTCGCAACAACGCCTCGCAAACGCGAACCTATCATTCCTCTCATCAATAGGCATGGAGCTCACTACCCTGATCGATCAGCGCGCCAACCTTCCCCGTGTCAACGCAGAACTGCAGAAGATCAAGAAGACGGCATACAAGCTGTCCAACACCATCATGGACAGTGTCGAGATTGTTCGCAGGCAAACAGTTGGTCTCGACTGCCAGGATCTCATCCAGACTTGTTTCGCTTTCGCGACAGAATTCGGTCAACGTTCCGTTCTCTACATGGACTACAACCGGAGGGCCATGAACAACATCAAGCTAACCAGGCTGGCACTTGACTGGGTCAGTTTCATTTGCGACGACTGCATTGCTTCGGACCGAAAGACATTTCGATGGGCTGTGGTTGCTCTAGAGTTTGCCATGATGATGACCCGCGGTCAGAACATTCTATCCATCAGCGACGAGGAATACTCACAGCTGCGACTGAAGGTAGCTGGCTGCATGTCCGTCCTCATCTCCCACTTCGACATCATGGGCGCGAGGTCGACCATTGCAGCTCAGGCCGAGCGACAGCGCCTCAACGCTATTGCTGGGAAGAGCCTGCTCGATCCGAAGAACGCAAAGGATGACGATGAGTCCATTGAGATGACTCAACAACAGTGGATGCAGAGGCTCGAAGAGATTGACACGTTCCGCAAGGACAAGGAAGCCGAACGCCAGGCTCTTGGTCGGGTGCTGGAGGACTCTAATGAAGCCGACCGAGCGCTGACCTACCTGTCTTCGTCTGCGACAAACGTCACACTGCGATGGCAGCAGGGCCAGTTTGTCGGCGGAGGTACATTTGGATCCGTCTACGCAGCTATGAACCTCGACTCCAACCACCTCATGGCCGTCAAAGAAATTCGTCTCCAAGATCCACAGCTCATTCCTACGATTGTCGCTCAGATCAGAGACGAGATGGGTGTTCTTCAAGTGCTCGACCATCCCAATATTGTGTCTTATTACGGTATTGAACCACATCGAGACAAGGTGTACATCTTCATGGAATACTGCTCTGGTGGCTCGCTTGCCGGACTGCTAGAACATGGACGTATCGAAGACGAGACCGTCATTATGGTTTACGCGCTTCAGATGTTGGAGGGTCTCGCCTACCTACATGACGCTGGTGTTGTGCATCGCGACATCAAGCCCGAGAGTAAGTTGGCTTTTGATCCTATCATGATTTACCCTTGCTAATCAAACCCAGACATTCTTCTCGACCACAACGGAGTCATCAAATTTGTCGACTTCGGCGCCGCCAAACTCATCGCTCGCCAAGGTCGAACCCTCGCCGCAGAACACAACGCTACACGCCAGGGCCGCCAACGCTCTATGACCGGAACGCCAATGTACATGTCCCCTGAAGTCATTCGGGGTGGAAGCACAGGTCGCCACGGCGCTGTCGATATCTGGTCACTAGGCTGCGTGATCCTGGAGATGGCTACGGGTCGCCGCCCGTGGGCTTCCATGGACAATGAATGGGCCATCATGTACCACATTGCCCAGGGTGATCCACCACAACTACCATCCAAGGAGCAACTCAGCGACACTGGTATCGACTTCCTCAAGAAATGCTTCGACCGCGACCCGAACAAGCGAGCCAGTGCGGTTGAGCTGCTCCAGCACGAATGGATCATGACGCTCCGCGCCCAGCTCAGCCTGGAACCAGCCACGCCCAGTGATAGCAACTCTAGCAGTGGAACACCACAAAGTAGTAGGCAAAACTCCACCTACAACTAATCCTTGACGCCCTCATCAGCACGTTTCGTCATGAATCTTGACGATGTTGGCTGATAGTGCATAGTGGCTCGCCGCCTTTCCATACACAGGGCCAGTCTCGATTCTGGTCAAAGCCTTCTACCCTCTCCAGATGCCGTCTCTGCAGGTTCCGGTGTTAGTCCCTTCACTATACCACCTGGCTCCTCGTTTACTGGAGCTTCCCCTTTCCGACAATTCAACTTCTCTGAACCATAAGGAGTGCTTACCTACACTTCATCTTGCACCCTGAAATTCCGGGGACACGAAGATTGTAAACATTATTATTTCCGCTTCTGCCTGTACTCCTCCACTCCCCGCTAGCGTCTCTTGGGAAGTATGGATAGGGCGTTTGAATGGGTTCATCTCCCACTTCTGTTTCTTTTGTCAGGCGCGTCTCCTTACGTATGACCGCTGTCGGTTGGGCATTCTGTTGTAGGTGTTTCTGCATTAGCGAGGGCGTTTCTCCGTATCATTATGGGTATGGGGCTTTATTGTTGGTTATCGTCCTTATACATGATGCTTGCCTGGGTGGTTCGGGCGAGCAACACTTTCTCTTATTGTCTAATCGTCGAGTTGATGAAGGCGATGCGGTATATACTAAGCAACGATTGCCCTGCGTGGCTTATACATCCTTTGAACACGTGCATACATGCTGCTATTCCTTTTAAGTGATATATGTCAAACTCATCACATCGTACCGTATGTAAGTTGAGTAGCATATAATTATCACAACTGCGATCGATGCATAGATCTACTGTAAGCGGAGTACGTAAGTGAAAAACAAGAACACGTTCCACACTCGCCCTCCTCGTCATTCTCTTTCCCCCTAAACCATCCACTCCCTCAGCACCTCCTCTTCCACATCCCTAATCAGAACATGCACATGTTCCAAACTCCTCACACTCTGCAAATCCGTCGTATTCTTGAACCAAATAACCTTACTCCCCCCCTCTTTCTCCCCCGCCTTATCCCTAAACTCCCTCTTCACAAACCCCTCCACCATTGCCCTCCCCTCCTCACTCAACGCACCCTTCCCATCCACCGGCAACCGCTGCTTCAACCACACAACAACATGCCTGACACCAGGCACAAACGCATACGCCCAGTCATTCCTCAGAATCTTGTAATCCGCTGGATCCGCAAAAGGCGTGTTGTTGACTACATCGAACCGCAACGCCCCACTCTCATCTTCAACCGGGTCCCAGAGAAGGCGCTGGTCGAGCAGATATGTCATTACGCTGCCGTATTTCTGCTTTACGTGTGCTGTCCATGCGAGATATGCTTTTAGGGCGCTGGGCCAGCGCTTCAGCTCTTCGAGGTGGTTGGTGCTGATGAGGGTGTGCAGGTTCGACCAGGAGTGGGGTGTGAAGTCTGTGTCTGAGAGGGAGAGCTGCTGCCAATCTATGGCTGTGAGGGCGAATGGGGGGTTGTCGCGGGGGAAGGGTAGGGCGGTCGGGTCCGGGTTGGATTTCCATTGAGCTTGGAAGATGGAGGGGAGGGATGATTCGTCGATGGTGAAGTTGCGTGACATCTTGATTTTAGGTGGCTTCTGGGAACGTGTACTGCGGGTATATGTGGTACGCGGATGAGAGGTGAGAGAATATGAGAGTTGGGTAGCCGCGATGGTGATACTGGAGGGGCGGCCAAGTTGATTTCGAGGAGAGACAGTTAGCAAACGAGATAAAGTGGTTCGAAAGGTAGATATATTGATCATCTACGTTATTGGGTCGTGGTATCAAGTACCTGTGTAAGTCCTGGTTGGTAGGTGGGTGTGCTTGCATATTTCGGCGGAAGCGATTCCCGATTCGGGCTGCTAAGACACATGGCAACACCTGGGCATGTAGTATACAGCGATGCTGTTGAGACGTAACAAGGGATGCAGCAGGGTACTTGGAACACATAAATGCATGAAGAAGGCCTTACATGGGTATCATCATACATGTTCAAATCAAATATAGGCTACTCTACAACTTTTCGAGCAAAATCTTCGCTCCAGCGTTTCCCCGAGGAGCAGCATCCGACTTGTCGCCCTTCTTTTGCTTCTTGCCCTTGGCCTCGCCATTTTGCGCGCCTGGAGGGTTGGCAGCCGCCTCTAGCGCCTTCTTCTCCTTCTTCAGCGCTTTCAGTACTTCGTCCCTCTTGGCGAAGCCTTCAGCTTCAGTCATAGACACCACCACGAAAGAGCCCTGACCAGTCGCCCAGCTAATCAGGTTAGACTTGATCTGAGGCCAGAGCAAGTCTGCAAAGCCGAGAGCAGGCTCTACGGGAACGACCTTCTTGGTGGTAGGGTCGAACTTGCCACCTTGTACCAGCATCTTCAGCATGTTCTTGCCGTGACTGGTAGCCTTGTTGTCACCGGCGGAAGCAGGCAAGGCAGAGTCCAAGATCGATTGTGAAAGACGGGCGACCTCCGTCAAAGCTTCCTTGCGCTTCGCCGGTTCGACCTCTGGTGCTCCAACGAGAACCTCGCCCATGAACTGTAGGCCGAATGTGAAAGAGGCAAAGTCGGCAGCGCGGGCAGTCACAGCCGTCAGCAGTTGCGGCTCGATGCTCTTTGCGATTTCCGAGAGACGGATGTTTGGGTCCTTCTTTGATGTAGTCTGGCGAATGGCATACAACTCGCTCAACCGGTCGCGCGTGTTGTCATCCAATAACCATTTGGCATCTGCGGCGAATGGGTATAGTAAGACTGTGCGTGCGCGAGCATCATTGACCAGGTTCAACACCTTCTCGGGGAGGGCGTCATTGCTGGGTAGAAGCTCGCTGAAGATGGACTTGGAAGAAAGCTTGGTGTCATCCGTGACTGCCATAGCAGCAAGAAGGACGTGATGGGCGTGTTGGTCGAAAGCCATTGTCTCCATTGTGTCCTTGTACGGCCGCAGGAAGAGCTTGCGGTCCTTGGCTGTGCCGTATGCGAAGCAAAGCGACACCAATCGCGACCCTGATTTTGTGAACGCGAGGTTCTTCATGAGATCGACGTTGTCGGCTTCTTCGCCCTCCTTGGTTGTTGGGTCCGGCTTGAGGTGTTCGAGGAAATCGTTCGCTTGTTCGGTGCCGGGCTCGCATACGAGGAAGTATTGCAACATGGCGTCGTGCAGCATGGTGAAGCCAGTGAGCTTCTTCTGAATGAGCGAGTTGATCTGGTTCTCAAGGTAGCCCATAATAGGCTTCCTCTTCTCCGGGGATTCTTTCAAGATGGCCGATAGCTCTGCGCTATCGGTGCCTTCGGCAGAAAGACCCTTGATGGAGAACTCAGGACCATACCATTCCCGCAGAAGACGGTTCTTCTGCTCGGGAGTGGCTACGGCTCGGTATATATCGTCTACGATCCATGCGGCTTCGGGGTGGTTGATCATGCGCTTGACGTGGCTGTAGAACTCGGTGATGACGAGGTCGCGAATTTCAGGGTCGCTGGGATCGGTTAGACATGTTATGCCGTGCGTAGACATTGTACTCACCCCTTCTCTACCAACTTGGCGATCAAGAACTTGGAGTACTTGCCCTCGGCCAGGACCTTGAACTCGCCCTTCAGCTCTCTTGCAATCATTCGCCTCTGTTCCATTGTTGAGTATTTGATGGCTGTTTGGATGACACGCACAGAGTCGTGCTTGAAGACGAAGTCCTTGACTCTGCCTGTTATGATCTCGAACAGCTCCTTGACGAGCCCTTTCCTCTCTTCCTTGTCAACATGCGACTTCAGCCTGAGCTTCTCCCATAGCTTCTTGGAGCGTTCGATGATGTCGGCGTTTGGCTTCGCGGCCTTTCGTTCTCTGGCAAGGGCTTTTTGCTTTGCGTGCGCTTCTTTCGAATTGTTTACTAGAGGGACGGTTAGCTAAACCACCAGGCAAGGTACATGGCTCTATCTTACCATTCAACCCCGCTAACTTGGACTCTACACCCTCGCCCTCGGCTTTGTCTGAGGCGCCGTTGTCGTCCTTGCGCTTTTGTGTCTTGCCGTTGGACTTTGCGGGTTGTTCGTCGCTGCTGTCGGCGTCGCTCATGTCGACATCGGCACCGTCGGCCGCCGAGAAGCCGTAGAAGCCATTGTCCTTCTCGCTCGTATCCGACTCTTCAAAGTCGTCGGAGCTCTCTTCCTTGGTCTTCTTCGCCTTCTTGACCGGCTTAACGTCGCGCTTCTTCTCGCTCTTGGTGGTAGGCTTGTCGACCTTGACCTTTTTGCTCTTGTCCTTGGCGTCGGGCGCACTTGCGCCGGTCGATTTGCGTTTGATACCGGCCATTTTGGGAAAGTCGTTGTCGTGTCGCAGTCTTCAAGCTCGAAGTCGCAAAAGTTCGCGACTTCCCGAACTTTTTCTGACAAGCGGGCCGGGGTTCTCTTCTAGCGTAGCCTAATCGAGACTAGTACATCGGCGAGCCATGTGCTCCACACGCGCGGTTCACCAACTCTCCGAACGTCGATATCAGAATCCTACACTTGAAGCTTGATGTTAGTCGAGACAAGGTGCTATGCTCACCCTTGTGATAGACCGCCATATTCGCAGTCGCCTGGCTTCTACAAGTTTGAGCCGAGCCATTAGTAAAGAACAATTACCTAGGTATCCGGGCCTCCAGACAAACGACTGAAGGATTGGTAACTCAATTGAAGCCACAATGGCTATTATTGAAGTGCTGGTTTGAGGTTTCGGCATATCCGCAGGCTTCGTCCTCTTCTTTCTGTCGACCACTTCTGTGCCTTTGCTTCTCACCACACCCGGGCACCTACAAACTCTTGAGCTGTTGTGCACCTTCAGTCTTACTTGCTTATGAGAAGATGATGGCGGGAACTACGAGGACAATGGGGACTTCTGATAGTCGAGCAGTGATCTATAGTACGCGCCCGTACATACATAATGGCTGCCCCGTGCTTAGACCTAGGTCTTGTACAAAGGAAGACACGTTAGATGCTGTATTGTATATAAGACAGTTGTTATAGCTCTGGTATAATCTTGTTGATACGCAATAATTGAAGCAGGTTTGGACGCTTGCATTACTTGGGATCTTGCCTGTGTCGACGAGTATTGTGCAGAATTACCTTGAGCGAGCTATTAGGTTTTGAACGTAAATAATACATTATACAGACAAAGAACGTCTCTCGAACAAGGCTTCGAAAGGATTTGTGTTATGTGCGACACGTTACAGCAAAAAACAAGGGGTTGACTAAGGGATGCCCCAAAGTGACCCAAAACAGCGAAAAAAAATATCCTGGAGTATCTGACAATGCCAGACGAATGCTGAACAGAGTGGGACTCGAACCCACGCCACTTTCGTGACCAGGATGTCTTAGAAATTGCTCTCTTAGACTTAGCGTTAAGAAACCTTAACCTGGCGCCATAACCAGCTCTGTATGGGATGTTAGAATGGATGCGTTGAAGATGGAGGTGTTTAGACTAACCGGCCATCTGTCCTTCTCTAGGAATTGATGGAGACTCGAGCAGATCGTGCGTTTATATTCCCAGCTCTTTGTTGGTTGTGGGAAAATTCACTTGAGCGATGCGGGGCAGTTGGGTAATATGGACCACACCAACGCTGACCTTGGACAAAATGCAGCCTAACCACAAAGGAAGAACACCAAAGCAGTCAAGATCGGCGTTGCTACCAAGTCACATCGTTCCGGGAAGAAAACAAACAAAGCATTGATACTCTGAGGTATATATGGGCGTACCCCCGTAAGACCAGAAATTGATTAAACTCTGAGGCAATTTGAATCCCAGGCTGTTTAAATCTGAAATCTGTTGGATCGTTCTCTGGATACTGTTTGTCGCTTTGCGACATTGACAGGCCGATGCATGCTTCCAGAAAGGCTTCTCACAACCTGCGGAACAGTGGCAAGCCATACCCCAACTCTATTGAAACGCACACTACATTTCACACTCCAAAATTCAAGAAGAAGGGCGAGTACGATTTCACTGCTACACCTTACACAAGGAACAACCCGGGCACTGGACAGGTGCCCTGCTGTCTACATCGGTGCAAGGCACGAAAGTTAACCAACCCCCGAAACAACGTAGACATCTAGAATTGTTTTCTTGAATAGCCGCTCAACATCACCTCAGATCGAGTGGCTGGAAGTAGTGCTGCTGGTTAGTTGGCAAAGCAGGATGTTTTCGGGGCTTCTGTGAAATCTTGGCTTATGCATGTGCGCAAATGCGCATCTGCGCACCGTAATCGACGGTAAGAATTTCCTTCCCAATGCAGTATTTTCGGCATCGGTCTGTCGTTTCTCGGCCACATCTTATAATAAGCCCTTGAATCAACACGTTCGCTGTAATATTTTAGAGTGGTGCATGGGCGGGACGGCCATCGCATCTTCCCCCCGCGATACGCGTACTGCCTGCACATGTCAGCACGGATGCAGCAGCCACATTGCTGCGCCTCGCGTGACTTCACCGCCCAGCTCCACCACCAGCCTCCCCTGCACCAACCCAGCTAGCATGAGCTCCGTGAAGCATACATCCCCGCATTGAGATGGGCGCGCGCAAATGCAGCCATCGCTTGCGGTAGACCGCCATGACGTATTGGCCCATCTCGTCGCCCTCCGTCTTCGCGGCCACTAAACGTACGGATCCTGGGCGCACGAACACCTCGCACGATGGCGTCGAACACAAGCAATCGGACGGAGCGCATGAAGGGTCGAACCCCCAATCGCAGAATCAATTTGAACATGAGGCCTCTACCGGAAGTAAGAATGGGGTAGAAGAGAAGAATGGCGCGCACTCGCCGCAAGAAGGCGCGTCGGTTCAATCAGTAGAGGACGACATTCATGGCACCATCATCGCGATCAGAGTGACGAGGAGTGGTCACATGTTTGCGACTCTCACCAGAACCACCCTCACAATCTGGCAGACAAAGGCACGTGTCATTGCTAGCCCGGCGCTTCATGTGCTAATTCGTCACAGCCTACAGTAGTTCTTGCCTCTGTCCTCCGTTCAGAGCAATCCGTTAGAACATACGGTCCTAATACAGACGTCCTACTCCGCCCCGACTCCCAAATCTTCGTCGTCCAGACCGCGCTCGGCTTCCTCATCACATACTCGCTCGCGACAGACCATTCATCCCGCATATACCAGGCTCAATTCACCAACACACACGGAGGTCACGCGAGGAAAAGCAGTGCAATCACAGGCTTCAAGATCCAGCGCCAGCACGATGTCAATGCAGGACCTGGAGAGGGCAATGGCCTGAAAGAGCTCAGTCTGCGGTTCCGGATGGTGATACGGGTGGATGCTGGGATAATTCGGGCCCTGGCTCTAGACGACGAGTTGGTCGTGGCCACCGAGAAGCCGGCAGCCGTGCAATGTATTCGTTGGGCGCCGGACAACGCTGGAAGCCAGACCAGCACCGAGCTTCTGACCAAGATGACATGGTTAGGGAGCAACGCATCAATGCGAGAAATGGTCCACGATCGACCCATGAATCTGTCGTGTTGGATCACAGGTAACGGTCGAGCCTATGCTGTTCAAAAGGCGGCTAAAAGAGATGCCGCTGTCTCTAGTATCTTCCGTGGCTACGGTTTCCACACACCCAAGACTGATGCCGATTATGGTGTCAAAGCTGCTATCAATGCGAGATTCTCTTTGCTTGCTGTTGGCTGTGCCAGTGGCGAGATCCATGTATACACGGCACGCGACTATACCGGCAACATCCCTCTATCGCATAAACTACGACCGAACGTCACTTCGCCCGGCAAATTGACTGTATTGACTTATTCGCCAGACGGGTACTGTCTCTTCGCCGGCTATGAACACGGTTGGGCCATGTGGAGTGTATACGGAAAGCCCGGGGCCACCAGCTTCACTGCAGAAAGGACGCTTTCCAAGACCAACAACGAAGGGTGGCTTCTCAGTGTCAAAGAGGCTTTCTGGATTGGAGGTGGCGCGGAGCTCTTGATGTTGGGCGACAACGACAATCGTCTCTTTGTTTTGGAGATGGCTCGCAGTGCAGTCACTGGCTGCTTCTCTTCGGCAAATGTGTCACGATCTTTGATGCAGACCAGTACCGGATTCATGATTTACCGCGGTTACGATCTGCCAGATCTTACGACAATCTCCGCCGACGTGTCACTCTGGCACCATGTTCAAATCCCATCGGCTTACCTTGTCGACCAATGGCCGATTAGAAGTGCAGTCATTTCGAATGACGGTCGATATGTGGCAATAGCAGGCAAGAGAGGGCTCGCCCACTACTCCGTTAACAGTGGACGGTGGAAAATGTTCGATGATCCCTTCATAGAAAACGAGTTCACTGTCCGAGGAGGTATGTGCTGGTTCCAGCATGTCTTGATTGCGGCTGTCGAATGCCGCGAGTCTCACGAAGTAGGTACATCCAGGCGCTCGGTTCGATTTATACTGACTCACTTGTCAAGGTCCGGGTATATTCACGCGAGGCGGCTCTTGACAACAGCCATGTCATGCATACGCAGAAGCTACCTGCGCCCATCGTACTGATAGCACCCTCCGGCGAAGATTCACTCCTGGTCTACACGTACGAGAATATATTGTACCACTACGTAATCAGTGTGTCCGACGCAAGTGTGAAGTTGGTGCAAGTGGGTCAAATCGCCCTGCATGGCATCATTCGGGCTCCTACACGAGTGCGAGCGCTTAGCTGGATATTACCGGAAGATCAAATACGTACGTTCTTTGATCCTACGGCACTGTAACCGCTGACACGTCTTAGATAACGGTGATCCAACACAGGACGTGGCGGTCGCGACTATCCTGTTCCTCGTAGATGGTAAACTTGTGCTCCTGCAGCCAACGACTACCGAGAGTGGCGAACTCAAATACGAGATGCGCATCATCGCGCAGAACGTGGAGACGTATGCTCTTATGCGCGATCACCCTGCGTTCGCATTGGACCGACATGCCGATTCGTTGCCGGCGAGCCCCTCTATGGAACTGACCATGGAGGGTGTACACGGCCACGATTTACGTGACTCATTGTGGTTCTTCGATGGTAACGACATGCGAGTTTGGATAGACATGCAAGACGTCCTTGCTTCCGCGTCACCAGAGATCGGCAGGGAACTGCCCACGCCTGTTCAAATCCCGGTCGACTTCTATCCTCTTTCGGCGTTGATTAACAAAGCAATCATATTCGGGGTGGAGTCAGAGTTGATTCAACGCAGGGATACGAGCTTCGCGTTCTTGCGCTTCGGAACCAGGGTAAGTCTCTGCGCTCTGCTCCCGCGTCATTGGTGGTACACTGATCTCATGCTGACACACATGCTAGACACACCTCTTTCTCCCCGCATTGCTGCGGTGTCACCTGGCGCAGTTCAATCACCCTGCAGCCTTGCATCTTAGCCACCATTACCAGCATTTGCTATATTTCCCCCATGCTTTGGAGATCTTACTGCATGAAGTCTTGGACGAAGAAGTGGATACGCAGCCACCACCCGAACAGGCGCTATTGCCGAGCGTGCTATCATTCCTGAGCTCCTTTCCCCGATATCTCGACATTGTTGTGCAATGTACCCGTAAAACTGAGGTCCGTTCATGGCGGACGTTATTCTCGAACCTGCCTCCACCGGAAGAACTATTCGAAGAATCGCTACAGAAAGGGAATCTTAAGACTGCAGGTGGCTATCTCCTTGTTCTTCACACTTTCGAAGAACTGCGACCGACAGGCGATCAAGTCGTGCGCTTACTTCAACGCGCCAAAGACGAACAGGATTGGGAGCTATGCAAAGAACTCGCGCGATTTCTTATGGCTCTTGATGAATCTGGCGCAACACTCCGAAGTACGTTGGAGCTTGTTGAGCTGAAGACACCATCAGCGGAACCAGTCCATGGCCAGTCGCATTTTACGTTCGAAACCGCACGGCTAAATGTACCGCTGCGGGGACGAAACAATGGGCTCAGAGCATTGAACGGCACAGGCAGTGATTTTGGGGCCGATGGTACTGGTATGATGGCGCGAGAGAGTGGTGACATTAGCCCCGGTGGGAGCGACGTAAGTGCTGGTAGCGATACACGTCCGTCACAAGCACCCGGTGATTATTTCGGCCTCGGGCTGAACAACATGCGTCAGTAGTAGTAATAACCAGATTATCCCATGGATTGTATCATTGATGCAGCTATGTACATCTTTGCAAGCGGTCCGTGTATTCAAACCCACGATACTCACAACGATGATGTATGGCGTCGCATCACGAGACTCGCTGTAATGGTTCGGCCGACGTCGCTACCTAGGTACCGCTGAACACACATTGACCACCACTCGAACAATTAAACAGCCACCTGGTGATGTTAGGCGATCTGGGTACTCGGGGTGCCGTGTGCTATCGATGGTCCCAAAATATGGGTCTGGCTTTGCTCTCTCCAATGAGCAGCAATGCAGGGTCGTATCGACCCCACAGGGCTGCTTATCCAACCTCACGGCAGGAAGAGGAGTATACCTCGCGATTGGTGAGCTCGACCAGTCTGCCCTCTTCTACCGCGTCTTGTACGGGATCCCGAGGCACGGCGCACCCACGTAGCTGGTCAACTGGTAAGCGAACGTTTAGATTGCGGTCGTATCTGTGTGCTCCGTCTAACGTAGTATCGCCTGATGTCTCGTGTCGTGTGTAGCGGAGAGGTACGTAGCTGAGCCAAGGGTTCCATGGGACGAAATGGCTTGGTAAAGACATCTACGTCCGCCGCTCGACCAAACTTTGTGTCTAGATAAGATAGCAGGGTTGGCATGCGCTCTGGGGATGCGGTGGCATCAACCGGGCGGTGAGACGCGCTGGGCCTCTACAGCGTCTCCAGGGCTTGGAGGTCAGCTTTCGCACGTGCGAAGCAACGTCCAATGAAGGGCCTGGTCTCCTCACGAGGCAATCGATGTGGGTGAAGTCCCTCACAGAGATTGTAGAAGGACTGAGAGGATACAGCCTCGTGATTCTGCTCACAGTGGCAACGCGCGCATTGCACCAAGCCCATTCCATCCACCTGGGCAACATGGCAAACTGCTCCAAAGTTTTGACGGATCCCCGAAAGCCCTACTTACTCGTGCTGCGTCTAAGACGGGTCCCGCGCTAAAGCGAGCACCAGTGCAATGGGTCGGCGTTCAGGCAACCAACTATGCCTCCTCCCCGGCGCGCAGGCCTCTCGTTCACTCGTCGCAACAAGCATTAAGGACTCAGCCACGACTGCCTTCACCGTATACTCATCCCAGCACCAGCACGTTGCTGCGCATACTCAACACACGCTTTATGACGCACAATTGCCTGCTTTCCGCTTCATCTGTTGCACAAAGCTTTGTATGGCTGGAATTGCGCCCTTTCTGGAAATATTCACGGGCGGCAAGGCACACTGTCACCAGCCGCGTATATATACTTCTGGCCCCATTGCTTTCAGCCTTACCCGATACCGATCGATCCTTCGTCTTCTGTTGCTCAGATTCCATCTAAATCGTTAACATCTGCCATAGGAATGACACTACATTCCGATCACCGAATCGAACATCATCGCGCTTGCCAATTATCCTTGAGTACTATCGGGCTAGTCGACAACAATGACTGCCCCTCCAGCCGCGCGACCGCTCTTCTCCGCCCATCACATGCCATTTGTCTATCCTTCACCACCCTCGACGATCGCATCGGACTCAAGCTTCTATGGAAATGTCATGTCGCCTCCGCAGCAACTCAATGGTGAGCGTGCCTTTTCGTATCATTGAACGGACTTGATGCGCGTACCACATGCGGAAGGCGCTCTCGCTACGGCCGAGGTCCACTGCTTGCGCATGCTGCACCTTCACGGTGTGTAACACGATCACCAACATCAGCAGAACCCCTGATCGCCATCCCCAGCTCACTCAGTGGTGCCAATCGCTAATATCCAGTAGAATTCATGCCGCCTCGGAAGTCGAGCTCTTCGCCAACGGCGAAGTCACCTGACAATGCGAGCCTTCGATGGATAACCGCCACCAAACCCAGCGATTTCAAATCAAAGGCCACCATGCAAACCGTACGCCAAACCGCGATGGGTAGCTATCTAAAAGCTACAAAGAATCAGGTCAGCAACAAAACTAGGGCCAATAGCGAAGCCTCGGATCATTCGCGATCGAGCTTAGGTTCCCAAAGCACCACAAAACCACGAACAATCAAAACGCCGAGAGTCAAAGAGAAGAAGAGTGATGATAAGATACATCGGTTGTCGCAGTCTACGAGCAGCAGCCAGGAGGCTCCCCATCATGATGCTCAGGTAGCACGGATTACGCCTCACCAATCGACCCTCACCCAGACACCCATTGTTATTCCAATTAGAAGTGGCCATCGGTATCCATTCGACCTAAAACCAGTACCAGATCTGAGATGTCTTGGGAATGGGCTAGACCCGTTCGGAACTATGTTTCAATCGAGGAACACTCGCGTGAACGTCGAGAGGCTGAAGATTGAATGCTCCAAATACTTCGGCACGGAGGGTCTGGGTAGGTACTGGATCCCCGAATGCCTGAGCTATGCACACACCTTCCTCAGCACCCTCTACATGGCTTCCGCATACGATGATGTCGTTCACAATCGAGAAATAGAGAGTTTGGAAACCGCGGCACTGCGCCAAGATGTCATACATTTCGTAGGTGGTCACCTCACCGACGTGGAGCAGAGTGTGGCGGATCACAATATCATCGCCGTCAGCCAACTCATACTGGGGGACGTCATAAGCCGCGCCGATTTAGGTCTACGCTACCACCAGATGGGCATTGCCAAAATGATCGAGCAGCGCGGTGGACTTCAAACCTTGGGTGTCAACGGCCAGCTAGCATCTGCAGTCTCGTGGGCAAACCTCGCGACCGCGGCTTTGCAGGAAGCCTCTCCCACTCGGATGTATGTTGACTACTGCGAGATGCGGGCGTTAAAGACATATCCTTTGATCGCTACGATACCGGAATCGCCGCTATACCATCCACACGGCAAATTCATGACGATCGAGAGGTCGGCAAACTGTAATGCGAATGCGCAAAAACTCCTGGAAGACGTTCGCACGATGATGGAGGACCTGCTTGACACCAATAGCTCGAGGCGTGCAGGCAGCTCTAACAAATCGCGCAGTGCCTACGACCGCATCATTCGATTTCGGTCTGTACAGCCCTCCCGCAAAACATCCATACTGAAAACGAAAGACTGGAAGTATGAGGCAATTCGCCTCGCTGCGATCGTCCAGGCTCAGGCTATGTTCGATCAAGTGCCCCTGTCGGAGGCGCTCGACCGTGTGCAGTTACCTGAAATACAACCGTTTTTGTATAGCTCATCGATGGCCTCACACTCTAACGGCTCTTTTTCCTCGACTCTGGACCCCCAAGATGTCAGTCCAGCTACCGACCTTTCCGAAAGCCCCATGTTTGGTTCATACAGCGAAGGCTTTCCTTCCAACCACCGGTTTTCGAATTCATCCACCTCATCACGACCCTTGCTTTCGTCATTGCAGTCAAGCTCATCGGACGTTCCCCTTCAACAAGAAGTGTTGATGCGTGAAGTCAGCGGAGATACCATCCTCCAACAACTACGAGACGCCCTCGAGAACTCCGACCTTTCAGACTGTTGGTCCGATATGGCCGGAGTGCTACTGTGGATTGGCTTGGTCATGGGAGCCGCGAGCAACAACAGCAAAGACAAGATCGTGCGAAGATACTTCTCTGCAACAACAATGCGGGCATGCATCATGCTGTGCTTTGAGCATCCTGAAGCAATTCATTCCACGATGCTCAGAATGACTGATCTTATTGCAGCCTTAGGCAGAAAGTCCAACGAGGGTCAAATGATAAGGAACGACAGCTTCGTGTCGAGGAAGCGATCGAAAAATTGAAGAACTACCGTATGCACAACTCAAAGGAAACGACGTTGCGACAAGCTTTCTCCACAGTGGCAATGTCTTTCGGCGTCTCCGAATGCTCCACCTCGAATCGGTACCCGTGCTCATATAGGGCTGTAGGGCTTAAGTCTAAGGCTGACAAGGCGCAGCCTTACTCTTCTACTATCTCGAAAACATTCGTGGGTATCTAGGCGTGACATCTACTTTCTTCGTACGGATGTATATACTTTCACATTTACTGTACGATATCATTGTAAGGCGTTTTCGGAGTTCTGTTGTTTACTTCAGTCGAGAGATGCCGGCGAATATCTCTTTCAGATACACTCTCATTAACTATCACTTATCATTCATCACTTTGGGCACACTGATTGCTTATGCTTATGGAGCTTGATGATTTATAATGTGCCTACTAACAGGACCTGAGGCTGGGCTCTCAAAGGTTCATGCCTTCATGCCTTCTTTCATCATAGGCATGCCCTCACATTCTAGCGACTGCACCATATAGCAGCCGCTTAACCCTTGGTAACCTTGTTGATAGTACCATCCTTGTCGAGGTGAACGTTCAGCCTCTCGGGCTGGAAGTCCATGGTCTTCATGTCGCCTTCGTTGAGAACGCGGTGTTGCTGGGGGAGGTCGGTCTTTGCGAAAGTCTAAGGATAGCGTTGAGTTAGCGTTGAGACTCAAGCGGAGGGATAGGATAAGGGGACAAGTAATAGTAAGATGCAACTCACCATCTCATCATGCTGGTCTCCAAGCTTCTTGCCCATGAGCTTGCTCATCCAGTCATCGTTGGAGTTTCCATCCTTGGACTGCAGACCGGGGACTACGAGAGGCATGTTGTGCGGTGGTGTTCGGGTGGTATAGAGTCTGTGTGGATGTACGTGTTTGCTTGCGCGGAGTTTGGAGAGTGGTCTTATCGTGGAGGTTGTTGCAGTGTTTGGATAGTTTTGTGGTCGGAAAGTGGGGTAGAGGGGATGCAGTACTTATGCAAGTAGACCCTGGCTGACACTTGCGTGAACTAACTTGTTTGTTTGGGCTTTAGGGGTCACCAGGCAGCAAGATGGGCTATGGTGAGGGCTTGGAGGGGAGGGTGACGTCACCCGTGTCTAGCCGCGTAAGTGGGGTTGTTTGGGGTTGATAGAACGCGGGATTGGCATGTGTTAGACTGCGCTGGTTTCGGGATGCGATTTTCCACTTGTCGGAAATACTGGAAGCCTTTGGAAAAGCTGTTAGAGCATTCGCGCACGTAGAATCAGGCCGAACTTGATGTTAGTGGAACCCTTCTACTGGCAGCTCCAGATGTATAAAAAGTGCTGATCTTCTGCGTTGCAACAATGAAAGGTAGCGATAACATCTAGCACGGAGGCGAAGGATGTCTGATCGGACAGTAGAGAATTACTCTCAAAAGCAATAGAAGGGCCAGCACGAGTTCGTGTTGTCATAACATGGTTCGAAGAATGTGAGTTGACCCTGACTTGTTTTGTAGCAAGCGGATACAGGATACGTAATCTACATTGCAAGATTCCTTGGGGCTCTTGAACAGTCAAAGTAGTCCAAAGACTACACGTACTGACGAGTCTAGTCATCACTTATTTGCCGTCGCGCATGTTGCGGAAGAAGTCCATGACACCGGTGAAGACGACCAGCAAGATACCGCCTCCAGGTCCCAATCTCAGGACCTTGGGTGTGAATCCCTTGTATAGTGCCGCGAAACCCTCCTCCTTCATGACCGTACCGAGAGCCGGCCATGCCCAGTTGTACTTGGGAATTGATCCTGCGACCTTGGGAGAGTTCTGAATACGCGACTTGACAACGTCCATGGGAGTGTTTAGGATCGTGCCGACCGTGCCACCGATAGCACCAGACATCAGGTCGTTGGTGATTTGGCTCTTCTTGGTGGTTGCTGCGGGCAGGAGAGCGCGGACCTGGAAGATGCAGCCAAAGTATCCAGCGTTCCACAGGATGTGCCTCCACATGGTCGACTCAAGACCCTGGTAAAGGGTGAGCGGCCCCTCCTGCTTGACGATCTTGGTGACGCAGTCCACCATACCGTTGTACTTGTGGGCTTGCGCCCTGTCTTGTAACCGAATTTTGACGAGCTCGAAGGGTACGACGACGAAGGCTTCGGTGGCACCTGCGGTGGCGCCGGTGAGGATGGAGAGCGACTGGTTCATCTTGGCCTGGCCGAACAGGTTGCGGTAGAAGGAACCCCATGAGTCATTGGCTGCGAACTTGGTGGCCCTGGATCGCGTGAGATAATTTCCTTTTTTGTTGGTATCAAGAAGCAGGGAAGCGCGTACCTCTTGGGAGCTTCCATAAGGATAGGCGCGGTGATACCGCGGTACAATCTCGACGCACTGGCAGATGTCAACCCCTCTTGCTCATGATCGCAGGAGCGTCATAGCGTACCCCTCATTCTTGATGATCTTCCTGAAGCAGTCCATCATGCCATTGTAGCCCTCGTCACCGACCACCTTTCCAGAGGTCTGAAGTTGTCTGTGTATGTTTAGAGGCGGTCCAGAGGTGGTGTCATATGCGGTCGCTTACATCCGGGTCTTGACGACGTCCAGCGGGTACCTTGAGATAGTGTTAGTGCTTGAGTCTCGACTGTGTGGGTGCAGGATGGTACGTACATGATCAGAATCTATAGATAGAGCTACATTAGCACAGTTCATCTCACGCGAGCTGCATAGACAGTTGCGCACTCACTTCTGACACACCAGCCACGGCACCTGGACATTGTTAGTACTGATTGACATAGCTGAAGCTCAACTGGCACGCAGGAATGCCGTGTGCGATAATCGGAGAGAAGCGCGTATAGATTTCTTGCTTGGTGCGGAGCCGGATTTCTCTCGGGCAGCTGTCGCATCGGAGCTGAGCGGTGTTAAGAGAATTGGAACTTACCAGCCGCGAACTGGTAGACAAAAGGCAATGGCTTCGCATCGGCAGCAGACATGTTGGCGGTTGTGGTGGGAGGTAATGAGATGGCCGAGGGTGAGAGAAGAGAGTTGGGCGCTGGTGAGTGAGCGGTTCACGGTCGGCGCGCACAATCTGGGGAAAGAGTGCTAGAGCGTGGGATGAAAGTCCAAACTCCGCTTAGGCGTGGTCCTAGCTTCCCGTCATCGGTTGACACCATTTCGATTGGCGCAAAAGCGACTATCTGACCCGTCTCTGCCTCTAGACATGTCTTGCTACTTGTGTGATACGCGGAGCTACCTGCGATACGCCAAGTCGTGTCAATTCCGTGACTGTATCAATCAGGATGTCCGAGGCCTATGACGGAAGCCTGCACATGTTGGTCGACCTAGACCTGGACTGTCTACTATTCTCGATTCTAACGTAGTCTCCAATCGAACAGCCTAAATTTCATCATGCCTGTGTTCCAATAGATGCGGTTCATGCGAAGAGTGGTTCAGGCCAGCGCAGGTCCCCGCACTCGGAGCTGTGTCGCACATCGGCTCGCAGCAACCGGCCCGAGCGCGTATCGCCACGAGTTCTCGCCTCGCCCAACGTGATTGGCCACTCACGACGCGTCTCTCGCGTTCGGTGCTTCCAAGACGCTGACGCTACCAACCATCTCCATGTCCACGCGACAGAGGTCCTTCTTTGACCAGAACCCGAAGCCAAAGGTACTTGGATAGCCCGCTGCCTTCACTGCCGCCGCCTACTCACCTCTCACCCTCGCAGCAGCAGTTCAAGGGCCAATGGAACCGCCCACGCAACTTCCCCCACCAAAACAGTAACCAGGCGGCGCCGCAGGCTCGGCAGGTAGTTACTGGCCCTCCCATCATGCCTTCGACCCAGACACGCACCAAGCTCAAAGCTTTCCAATTCATCGAGGGCGCGCCCACCGCCGAGTCCCTGCGACAGCGCGAAGCCGAGAAGGAAAACCTACCTTCAGCGCGAGGAAAGACAGCCAAGCCCATGAGCACACCAAAGGCGAACCGGGTCGCGAAAGATGTAGGAACCGCCAACAAGACTCCGAAGCTGCCTACCATTCTCGACTGTCCGCCGCCATCAACTCCCGCCACCACAAGGCTGCCGCTTGCGGACCTAGTGGGCAACGTCGACGATTCCTCGAGACACGCGCCGCAACCCGTCGCCTCGCCCGAAGAGACGCTGATATGGAGAGGCTCGCAGGCAGTCAACACGCCTTTGCCTCGGAAGAACAAGAAGCGCGCTAGGAGCTCGTCGCCCGTCGGACCGTCGCAAGACGAACACAGACTGGACGGCGCCAGGCAAGACATCACGACACCCCAGGCCGACCCTGCCATGGAATTGTGGTCGCGATACACGAACAACAAGGGAACACCAAGCGCTAACAAGAGCGTGGCGTTTGCACATCTGATCAACGAATCCTCACCTAGGTCGATGGCTGCCGCTGGAAGTGTCAGTGGGCTTCGCAGATGGGCAAGTTGTGGCGTAGAGTTCCCAGCATCGACCCGGAAGAAACGGAGAACCCACGGTGTGTTTCAGCCGGAGCAAGAAGCTACAGAGGACGTTTTCGCTGGCGCATCTAGTTCGGATGGGATTATGCTTGGACAACCCGCGAAACCCAACATCGCGAGCATGGTCCAGCGCATGAGGGAATGCGTGTCAAAGTCACAGCCGCGCATATCGTCACAGATGCCCTCAAGCTCGTCCCCATTGCCTGGGGCCGGCGATCGTCAGGACGAATCGTCAGGCTCTCCTCTTCAGCGGCGTGCACGCGACTATCTTGCAGAAACCTCCGAAACGATACGGCACGAGTCGGCACCTCTAGAAGATACCGTGGACATGGATGACGAGCTTGTTCAAGAAGACGATTACGTGCAAGCGGCACTGAAGCCACCGGCATCGCAGGGATCCTCAGATGATTTCGGAGACGACTTTGACGCGGACATGGTGGAAGCTTTGGATATATCGCCTCGACCTGTGCAACCTCCACCGCCCACGAAGTCCGCGCCACCCGCACGCTCCACGAGCTACGTTACCATACCTACCGAGCCCATCCA